GAAATCAGTTCCATGATAAATACAATGAACATTAAAAATCACAACTATTTTAGGGAAACTGTCAGAAGTACTATTTATAATTGCAGGTGCAAAGAACAAAGAACAACCACAACACCATTATTATTTGACAGCGAATATGAATTTATATTTACGCGATCTAACCCATAAAAAAACCTCTATTATGGTTCTAATTACTGTAGATTTGAAAATAGCGGTCTGAGTGTCATGGCATGAAACAAACAAATATATGCAAGATTAACTTTTGCAGAAAAAAATAAAGCAGTGTTTGAGAAAAACCTTCGGAAGACCACATCACAGAACCAGTGCAGTAATTGATGTAGCCTTTTCAAGTGCTCTGCGATGTCAATAAACCCTCGGAGTTGTAATAAGTCAAATGAAGCGAAATACCAAATGCAAAATACAATAATATTTTATTTTTTAGCAGTCAATGATGACCGGGTGGAGGTTATCAACTTGCTATACTTGATAACATCATTTAAGCAAGGGTGGCTGAAATTCCCCATCAAACCCAGGTTCTCGACTATGCTGGCCCTGCGTTCAGACACATTCATGGAGAATTGACAGATTCAAGCACGTCATGTCTTGACAAGAAGACAAAACGTGCGTGTCAGATTAAAAGCCGGCCACCAACACATCATGAGGACATTCAAGAGACATCTATAAGCTTCGTATGACATGAAGCTGTAAGTAATGACAACTGATGGACACAACTAATCATAGGATGACACTTAATAGAAGACACGCATCAGTCAAATATTATATTGATTCATAACCAGGTGGGTGCCTATAACAGCACGTCAGTTTTGCAAAGGGAGACTAATGGACACACTCAGATTTGCAGCAACCTGTAAACATGCGACGGATCAACGTTGGCATGCAACTCGATCCATTGGAGCATCGTTGGTCTAAAGTTCCATATTTGCCGTGAAGGGTTCGTCTGGGATGCACCTCCGATAAGCACGGATGGCTGTGCACGGTGCAAATGTTCAACATACGTACGCACAAATGTTCAAGGAATTACATTAAATCTGTGGAAGCCAGTGACAGTATTAACTCAGGAAAACCACAATGCGTGGCAAGTATTTATTTTCAGGAGGGTCCTGCTACAGTATAAGTTCAGGTTTTGAAGGAGCTATTTGGCAAACAAAATCCAAATTGAATAATTTAAACGCACTGACTTAACGACGATGTGCTGCTTCGGGTTATTTTATTGCGTAAATTTCCCTGGCTAAAAACAAGGTACAGTCGTTGGTACTGGTCAAACATCCAATTGCATTAAACAATTGCGAATACCCAGCAGCAATATCGTTCCCTGGTAGTAAAACTCACCACGGCCCACCTCCTGAATACGAGTCTTCAGACTCAGTGAGGCTTTTCTGGGTAAATAAGTGTAATAATAATGATGATGATGATGAAGAAAAGCATCTAAAATTATACTCATCTATGTTACCCACCCCATATATTTGTATATTTATCAAAGTGGTAATACAAAATGTTATCGAATTATATATTAAAAGTACCTGTTACTTATGGGGTAACTAGCCTTTTGTCCGTCCAAGGATGGGTGTATTGCAGTAAATGTGAAACTTGCAAGCGAAAAGCAGACCGTGATATTCATTGCATTAATTCGTGTGCAATTTATAAGGCCGCGGTGACACAGACCCATTTCATTTTAAGGTTATAATCCCTTGTTCATCATGACATCCTTTTTACTTTGATGTCTCAACAGCGTTATGGAGATCACGTGACGTGAGGGTTGTGAGTGGACGCCGAGGAGGCGCCTCGCCCCCTCCCCCATGTGGGATGACGTCACCCGCTAATTATTAAGAATTGAGGGGTGGTGTCAATTTGGAGGACGTCACCCGCTCATGAATATTAATGAGGGGGCTGTTCTATGTTGAGTGACGTCACCTGCTCATGATTATTAATGAGGGGGGGGGGTGACCATTTGGAGGACGTCACCTGCTCATGATTATTAATGAGGGGGGCTGTTCGATGTTGAGTGACGTCACCTGCTCATGATTATTAATGAGGGAGGTTGTTCGATGTTGAGTGACGTCACCTGCTCATGAATATTAATGAGGGGGGCTGTTCGATGTTGGGTGACGTCATCCGCTCATGAATATTAATGATGGGGGCTGGTCGATGTGGAGTGACATCACGAGCGTTAAGGACATTCCTGGGTGATTATAATAGGTATATGCATTGCAAAATGTGCTCTTTTTAATGTCAACGATTGCATTGATAAACAGTAATGTATCAACGTTAGTGAAATTTAAAAAGTCCACATTTATGAATGCAGTAGATGCAATGCTGAGTTTTAATACTATTCTGGTACGAGGTCCAGCATCTTCTTGGTTCTTTCGGTAAAGTCACGTAGAATGGAAATAACAAAATAAAACATTATAAATAATTCTCACGACGTTTCGGCCACAACGCAAGTAGCCGTCCTCAGGTGAAGACCAGGTCTGTCGGGGAGACAGCATCTGAATGAAACACCACCACGCTTGGAGCGTATATTTAAGCTGCTGGGTTGGAAGGGGGGGAAGGGCACCTTGACAAAATAATTTGCATATCAAAAGGAATTTAGCATATTTATGGCAAATGCAGGTATATGATTAGTACTACTTATGCCCGTGCATTATGCAGGATTAGCAGCATCAAAGGGAGGGCATATGGGAAATGCAGGTATGTGATTAGTACTACTTATGCCCGTGCATTATGCAGGATTAGGTACAGCATATTGTCATTAATGTACGATTGCAATGTATGAATGGACATACTTGAATTCGCTGTGCAGTTTTTATTTTGGAAACAATTGCACAATATTGTTGCATTGTATTCAAGACAATTGCAGATAGCTTAGGCACCGGGAAAGGGAATTCTTCACCTAGCAGTGGATCGAGAATGACGCACGTGCTGCGGCTGGTGACGTCATCGCGTAAATTATAACTCGTGACGTAATGCGCAACCATTAGCGGATATGACGTCATTTACACATTTACAAAAGTCATTTTACAAATTGGCATAGCATTTCATTTAGTGCAGAATGTATACGAACAGCCACGGTTATTTATTAGTGAAACTCGTAGCAAATATAAAAATTGAAATCAAATATATAATAAATGTTATTTTAGCCACGCCTTTTCCGTTATAGTTGATGGGGGGGGGGCTGAGTTGGAAAACCCCGATTCTTGAAGCGAATTCTCAACTGAATTGATTCATTAATCGATTCCTCTGGTTTTTTTATTGCTCTGCCCATCGAATCGAGAGTGTATGCATGACGATTTAATAACCTTCACGGACACGTCCGATCTATGCGAGCACATGGCATGTAACGTTATAGAATCGTAAAAATAAGTGGTTTATGGCGGTCGAAATCGATGCAAGAATGAATCGCGGGCCAAGGAGTGAAATCGGAGAATCCTTACATGGCTCTAGTTACGCGTGACCCCCTCCCCTCCATCCCTCAACACACCCCCACCTACCCCCTCCCCTCCATCCCTCAACACACCCCCCACCTACCCCCTCACCTCCATCCCTCAACACACCCCCACCTACCCCCTCCCCTCCATCCCTCAACACACCCCCCACCTACCCCCTCCCCTCCATCCCTCAACACACCCCCACCTACCCCCTCCCCTCCATCCCCCACACACCCCCCACCTACCCCCTCCCCTCCATCCCTCAACACACCCCCACCTACCCCCTCCCCTCCATCCCCCACACACCCCCCACCTACCCCCTCCCCTCCATCCCTCAACACACCCCCCACCTACCCCCTCCCCTCCATCCCCCACACACCCCCACCTACCCCCTCCCCTCCATCCCTCAACACACCCCCACCTACCCCCTCCCCTCCATCCCCACACACCCCCACCTACCCCCTCCCCTCCATCCCTCAACACACCCCCCACCTACCCCCTCCCCTCCATCCCTCACACACCCCCCACCTACCCCCTCCCCTCCATCCCTCAACACACCCCCCACCTACCCCCTCCCCTTCATCCCTCAACACACCCCCACCTACCCCCTCCCCTCCATCCCCCACACACCCCCCACCTACCCCCTCCCCTCCATCCCTCAACACACCCCCCACCTACCCCCTCCCCTCCATCCCCCACACACCCCCCACCTACCCCCTCCCCTCCATCCCTCAACACACCCCCACCTACCCCCTCCCCTCCATCCCTCAACACACCCCCCACCTACCCCCTCCCCTCCATCCCTCACACACCCCCCACCTACCCCCTCCCCTCCATCCCTCAACACACCCCCCTACCAGGCAATCCCCCCATCACCCCCCTCCCCTCAATACCCCCATCCCCTCAACCACCCCCAAAGCCCCCCCCTTCAATTCCCCCCCTCATACCCCTCCCCTTAATATCCCCCTCCCCTCAACTCCCCCCTCCCCTCAATTCCCCCCTCCCCTTAACCCCCCATCATCCCCCTCCCCTCAATATGCCCCTCATCCCCCTCCCCTCAATATCCCCCTCCCCTCAACCACCCCCAAAGCCCCCCCTTCAATTTCCCCCTCATACCCCTCCCCTCAATTTCCCCCTCCCCTCAATTACCCCCTCCCCTTAACCCCCCATCACCCCCCTCCCCTCAATATGCCCCTCATTCCCTTCCCCTCATTCCCCTCCCGTCAATCACCCCTCTTAGCCCCATCCCCACCCACTATCACTCACGCTCCACCCGCGGCGTCAATCGGACCAATCGTGTTCGAGCGGCCACGCTCTCGACCAATGAATGGGCTCCTATATACAGTAGCCCCGCCCTATTTTATACATCTACTAGAATGGGGGGGGGATGGGGTGCCAAACCGGTGAGCGCCCCCCCCCCCACCATATTCTATCACCCGTTCAACCAATGAGCGGGCTCGTACACGCGTAGTCCCGCCTTTTTTTTACTGCCCCTCCCCCTTCATCGGGGGTGGCCCCGCCTACCCGCGCGCGCGCGCCCTCAGTAGTGGGTGGCCGGCGTAGCGCGCGCGCGCTCTCCGGCATCAGCGGCGTTGGCTTGTCGCAGCCCGTAACAGCAACAATATAACACGACTTCAATAGAAGCAATTCGTTACAGAAAACGTTCACAACGGTAAATAAGCAACGTGATCGTCGAAGAAAACGATTAATGTCGTTTGTTGATATAAGCGGCGTTCGACGCGGATGTAAAACGTGTGAGTATATTGTTTGCTATGAAAAGTATATTTATTTATTTTACCTCATTGTGTGGTGGGAGTAGTACAAAGCATTTTTGAATCGTAATACTGCTTAACAGTAATACTTCCTATTAGAGTATAATTAATTTAATGATCATAATCGAACGATTGCTGTGTTACGGTCGGAGGAGATGGAGTATAGTTTTAGTGGTTTCTAGAAATCTATAAAGCTTAAGTGATGTTTAACATGTGCTCTCGAAACCCTTGTCCCATTCACTTGATTGATCCGAATGTTTTTAACGTGTAAATTTGTAATTGTAAATACGTTGCACAGATGCACGTGTGTGTTCACATGTGCATCCTTCATTGATGCTAGTTAAATGTTCCTTTTTAAAATTGTAGATATATATTTCATAAGGAGTACTGGCTTGACGTACAGTACTGTATTTACATTGACAACTGTAGCTAGTGTGTATAATAATATAACTTGGGTTTAATTATCATATTTAGCAGCTCGTTTTATATTTCATTGTTTGATCATACTTCGCGCTGGTTAGACACGGGATCATAGAAAGTATAGTGCGTACAGTATTATAACAATTTAAAGCTTTCGTGACTGCAGGGATTCATCTTCTTGGTTCTTTCGGTAAAGTCACGTAGAAGGGAAGTAATAAAATAATAAAAATTGTTTTATTATGTTTTATTTTTATTATTTTATTACTTCCCTTCTACGTGACTTTACCGAAAGAACCAAGAAGAAGAGGAGTATTATAACAGTTCATTTTCTGCATTTCTGTCACAATGCCTTGGTTATTAATAATCATCAGCAAATCAAATCCGCGTGGGTTACGCGTGTTCATGACACACATCCTATCTAATTCGTTGTTATTTAATTGAACCCGCGAGAAACCAAAACGGATCTTCTCTCATAGCTATACAGCAGCTACTTGTCCACGACTTTCATACCTGTCAAACCCCTTATCATTGCCCTTTATTAAAGGACAATTCAGACCGTATTGGTCATCACGTGCAGCTTATGAATATCAACGTTCATCCTATAGAGTCCCATCGCAATGGAGAAACACAAAAAATAGACAATATTGTTTTGCCCGTGTTGAAACGGCTGTACTTCGCTGTATGGACCTGAAAACTCAATTTCCCTGTACAAGAATAAGGGGTATAAACCGTGTAGGTTGTTTGTTTGTTCATTAAACTTGAGCAAGTGTGCCACAAGGTTGATGACATGTGATGTTTTAAACTGGAGGCTATGCTGCGCACGTGCATATTGTATGAGTAACACTTCTATGCAACCACGGGTTCGGGGAGATTCAATGTAAACTTTAAATAATATATATATCGATAAGGATGTATAAAACAATACTGTATACATACAGTGCTTAAAAAGCGATTGCAATCAACACCAGGATATGCTTACAGGTTTTTTTTCTTTTTCTGGGAATAAGTGAACAGGATTTGGTGAATAAGGGCAAACTTACGGTGTGTTTTATTTGTAGAATTCAAGTGATTTGGCCTGTTTATAAGTAAATAAACGAAGCCAATTGTTAAATGCTCATTATGTAGACAAATCCAGCCTCAATCTTCTTCTGGGAATTAGTGAACAGGATTTGGTGAATAAGTGCAAACTTACAGTGTGTTTTATTTGTAGAATTCAAGTGATTTGGCCTGTTTATAAGTAAAGCAAAAGGCCAATTGAAAAATTCTCATTATGTAGACAAAGCCAGTCGCAATCTATGAGTTTTTGCTACGACAAAATCACCCTGATTGCCCTCCCAATTTCTGATCTCAAGATATTGCAAATACATGTATTCTTGTCCAGGGAAATTGGGTTTTCAGGTCCATACGGTGGCGTACAGCCGTTTCAAAACGGTAACATTTTTCGTATCTTTGTTTGTGTTTCTCCCTTGTGAGCGTTGATATTTATAAGGTGCACGGGGTGACCAATACGGTCTGAATTGATCTGTAATAAGGTAGGGCACTGATAAGGGGTTGACAGGTATGCAAAGATGTGTGTGTGTAATGTAAAACATGTGCATTGTCTTTCGGCTATTCTGGTTCTTCCAACATTCCAAACATTCATGGACTTAGCCAAATGAGCACAATGCGGCCAGAGACCCTATTGGATAAAAGAGTCTTGGAACTCAATGAGGATTTCCTGAATAAATTGTTCTAAATCTGATCTATCGCTTTATTATTTATTAAATGCAGCTTACCAACAACACTCACCTCGTTAGAGTCTGCGGCACTGTACTGTGCACACACACACACACACCTCGAGTGTAGCATGGCGCAACCAGCTGTCTTTAATGAGCTGTTACTGCTCCTAGACACCGACCCCCTTTTGCCGTGGCTCATTCATTCACTCACCCATTAAAGTCCAAAGTGTGTGTGTGTGTGTTACCGTCCTCCGCACACGTGTGTAACACGGCACTGTACAGCGTGGTGTGGTCGATCATCCATATCATTTATAATCTACAACTTAGGAGGGTGGTTATTGGAGCGTACGCACAAATTGGCTGTCGTTTGTGTGCGTCTGCTGCCTTTTTAGATTCGTTTGTCAACTTTTGATTAAATTGCGTCTCTGTTTCGAGTCTCGCGTGCAGCGCGATGATTACGATGCCCACCGTCGTTTACACAACAGGGCAATCATTTACCGAGTCAAAATTACGGTACCTGCCTTTCAGAAGGTGGGGAGTTCTCTCTTCACCGGTGGGATGTCAGACAACGTTGCATTGCAGTGCGCACGCGATTGAGTGCACGCTTAGTGTGGAAGGGAAACCCACCGGGCAATTTATGCGACTGGATGTTTTTTCGTTGTTGTTGTTGCAAGAATGTAATCCTGCTGCCGTGCTCACATCTATCTCCTCGCCACCGTGGAAACACCGTGTGGTGTTTGCTTGTTTATTACGGCTCAAGGGGGTTAAAATCAGTTCCTCTGTACGCTTCAACTCAAAACGCGCATTTCATTATTGTCCTGTCGTCACATCAGTGGACTGTATGTACATCAGCGCAGTTGACGTAGCTGCATTGGACTAAATGTCATATCTTAAAATTGTAATTGAATTGCAAAAAAAAATAACCACTGGCCTTTAATTGCAAATTATATGCACACATGTATACTAGACACAATTTACATGTATATTCTTCATGAGAGCAGGACATTGTTTGAAGAGCATATCAGTTCGTCGCTTTGGCCCATTGCCAACGCGAGTCCACGATACATGTGTAAGCTTCTGTTATGGCCAATGCTAAAGGTTAACGTGACGTCTTTTTAAAAGCAATTTTTTTATCTTCACCGAGATGTTTCCGTTTATGATGACCTGCAGTAAAACATAATTTGGTCAATGCAGGTTACCGCTGGCATCTGTTTGTGTTTCTGTTGCTACATTTCACGTTTGTTTCTCGAGACTTACATGCGATGTACCGTATTTTTGTTGGGAAAAATATCATTAAACCTTAGCCATGGTCTATTGCCATCCGAGGGTTGCAGTACCCTCACTGAGATACTATTGCCGGGAGAGTTCTATAGGTACATTTGTTTTATTCTGTTTTATTTTCTTTGACAGATTCTGAGAATTCATCATGGGGCTCGGCTAAGGTAAACAAGGAAGGCTAGGTGGAACACCGTTCTATATCTACTGTCTAGTTTTATTATTTTCTTTATTTGTAAACGGGTGATGTCGCAGATCGAACAAGAACGACCATCTCGATCTCGGGAAAAGGCATCTCCTTCTGTAGCCCCGGCTACAACATCATCATCATTAGCATTGACATCACCACCAAATTTGGCATCATCACTGTCACCCCCAACATCGTCAGCATCATCACCATCGTCATTAGTGACGGCAATAGCAGCAGCAGTATCGTCAGCTGCAGCTGAGCCATCTCCTTACACAGCGTCATCATCATCATTGGCATCACCACGAATTTTAGCAATATATCCATCACCACCAACATCAGCAGCAGCAGCAGCATCATCATTGGAGACAGCAGGGGCATTAGCATTCACAGCCTCAGCAGCTGAGCGCAGACATGAAGAGGCGAGTGTAGCGGAGCCTCTGAGGAGGTCTCGCCGCACCGCCCGTGCCGGCATGCCGAAGCGCTGTGCCTCTCTCTCCTCGTCGTCTGAGACGACGGCGACGGCGGTGCCACAGGGCGTCCCCGTCCCTGAGAGACGCGCTTGCGGAACGCGGCGCTCGCTCGACTCGACGTTGTGCAGGCCAGCCGCCTGGCCCTCCGCAGACCGGCCCTTCGCCAGACGCGAGGACGCTGTGTCGTCGCTGTCACCGCCGGCGTTGCTGCCTCGGACGTGCCCGAAAGTGGGTCACGCTGCCCGGGGAGGGGCAAAGCCAGCGAGTCACGACGCACGCCGGGCTACGGGCCACGATTTTGTCGGCGACGGAGGAGCGGAATCGGCCGCCGACGGTAATAGAGGGCGAACGAACGTTGATGACAATCGAGAGGTCGCGGACACTGGGGAGCAGGGATGTGCAGAAATTACGGGTGGGGACTGCAGCGATGTCAGAAACAACAACAGCAGCGGGGGCAGCAATGGTAAGGTGAACAATACCTGTGAACGACAAGCAGATGAGGTGCAGGAGGAGGAGGAGGAGAGCGGGGGCGTTTGTGCGGTGCAGTCGCCCGAGCTGCACGGGGATGCGTGCGAGTCTGATCGCGAGCCCGGGGTGCCCAGCCCGGTGTTCGTCCGCCGGCAGCAGCTGCAGGAGCAGCAGCAGCAGCAGCAATCGCAGTCGTCCGCTCGAAGGCGTTCCTCTAGCGTCGAGGCGGCCCTGGCGGATGCCGCGGCGGCCACGGCGAAGCGCGAGAAGGAGGAAGAGGAGGCGGAGATGAAGGCCATCGACACGTCGACTGACGGCCGCTTCCTCAAGTTTGACATCGAGCTGGGTCGTGGCTCCTTTAAGACGGTGTACAAGGGGCTGGACACGGAGACCTGGGTCGAGGTGGCCTGGTGTGAGCTGCAGGTGAGGGCGTGCGAGGGTGGTGGCGTGGGGAGAGATGGCTCGAGTCTGTTGATGATTTCTGATGGTAATTCGAATTTAGTATATTTGGCATTTGTGCCATTAAGGTAGTATAAGGCTTTCACGAATTGACTAATTCACAAATGATTATAGTCTGGCTGTAGAAGGGAGATATAGCTACGTGAATTTACCCACATAGCAACGAGATCGAGAGTGGTTGTTGGCCTTGCGAATTTGGTAATATAGGCCACGTAAAATGCACTAAATATATAGTGACTAACAATCATTGACTTATTTGTGTAGGTAACGAGTTGGCTTGTAAGTTTAAGGTGGGATGGTGTTAAGCCTCCACTACCTCACATGGTTGTAATGTTTACAAAGATAATGTTATATATGCCAATGTAATCATCACATTCTCACCACTGAAGGTCACCCGGTGGCTAAATACTCAATCACTTAATTTGGCATCAATATATGACGTTTCGCTCAAGCTGCTTTGCGCTTCATCAGCTAAACCACCAATGTTGAGCCTTATTGACCAGAATTAAATCAATTCATTGGCACATGTAAATATTATCTTTGTAAACATGACATTCTTGTTGGATGCTGGAGGGTTAATGACGATAACTTTGGTATAAGACTACCCTTTGTCTAGCCCTGAAAACAAACGTGGATCGGGTATTTTGATGTTAGTTCCTGAAGCGTATGGATTTTTCCCTGGGCGCTGCAGTTTCTTCCTGTATGGAAATTACTAATGAACCAACTGGACCAACATTTCAACCGTACTACGAAAGGTCTTGAGGTTCACTGTGGTTTTCCTGGAGCCATTCATTGCGGTTTGCTGCACCGCGCTGTTAAATTGGTGTGCTGCTGTTAGCAGCTGCAAAGTCCATTATCTAATGTGCGCACGCAGCGTGCATGTTTTATATTTACAGCATACAGTACACTGAATCTCTGAGAAAGTGCTGCTGCTTACTGCTTGTAAAAAAGAATTGCTGTTGTCATTTGAAGTTGAATCGGGACAATTCATTCTGAAGTATTTGCTCTGCAATTTTAGCTCAGCAGGGCACTCAGTGTTTTTCTATGTATGCGTCTGTGGATAAAGTGGCACAATGAAGGCTATACACACATTGTGTTTGGTGTGTGTCCACTGAGTTCAAACTTTGTGAGAGTGTTGTGGTTATTTTAAATGCAGGTTACAAATTAACTCCGGTGATTGATGGGCCCTTCAAAATAAGCATCACTTGCAGGAGTGTTACAGGAAGGGATCGTTTTGCTGCTTTTGTGCCACCCTCTCCGCTGTCCAGACGTTGCGGCAATAAGCTGTCAGTCAGACTTGGAAAAACCATGCATACTTAATGATGAAAACACTAAACGCTCTACCTGACCACTGGGGTATTATGCAAGAATCAGCAGTATCTTGCCCATTTCTGAATATGTCGTAGGTATGTTTTGAGCAAAAACGTTCCATCGTCACATAAAAAATATTAAATAATATATATTTTACCACTTAAATGTTCCAGCTCCCGTAAGGATGACATGAAGTATATGCCAACAAATTACATATTGTTTGCAGGAATTCAGTGTCGCACTGCCCTGCAACAAAACAAAATCAAGTGCATTGGCTGTACTGCGGATTATGACTTTAGTGTGACGACTGTAATATGTGAAGTGTGAGATCATGCTTTAAATCTTCTTTACACAGAGCAGGATGCGATTGATTGAGGTTCTTGGTCTAGTGCGCAGTAAATTATGTCGGCGTGTATTGACATTTACAAACAGATATGACATCAGCTGGCATCGGTCTCCAATTATAATTAGTCACAGGGGGGTCCTCTTTTTGTGATGTGGTTCCTTGAGAGGGGACATGATAACTTGAGCGATTATTTAAATATACCTTAAATAGTAGTATGCATTTTGATTCAAAGCTTTTGTGACTGCAGGGATTCATATTCTTGGTTATTTCGGTAAAGTCACGTAGAAGGGAAATAATAAAATAATACAAATATTAAACAATACAAATTCTCACGACGTTTCGACTGCAACACAAGCAATCATCATCAGATGTCACACCTGATGATGATTGCTTGTGTTGCAGTCGAAACGTCGTGAGAATTTTTATAGTTTTATATTTTTCTTATTTTCTTATTTCCCTTCTATGTGACTTTACCGAAATAATCAAGAATAGTAGTAGTATGCATGTCTAGAATTTCTGCAATTCCCCAGTCCTATTAATATATGAACAGCTGAAGGATGCCGAGTTTAAAGTATTTGTTTTAACTTAATATATGAGGAGCATTGTCAGTGGTGAGCTCATTGAGCTCCCTGATAATTAATCATTGTTGCGCTCATTTTGCCCGCATATTGTCTGTATTGTGGTTAGATATTTCTTTGTAATATAATGTATGCCTATGAAGTGTTCATTGTAAGTGTTCCTTCTGAAAGCTTGTTTTTTTAATGAAGAGAGCTTCATGTTTTTTTTAAGGGTTGTCTTTTTATAACGTTACCAGCTGCTGTTTGCAGTGACACCAACCAGTGTTTAAACAAGCAAAACAAATGTGATCTTTACCACCATCTCCAGCCACATATCCGCCGCATCAATCAAAGAGACGTTCTTTAAAAGTCCAACAGATGACAATTGTTGGTCAGCAATTTTCTCGTTTGCTCTTGTCACACAGACAGTCAGCGACTCGGGTTAAAATCACGGGCAGAAATACACAACAATGTATTGACTCCACCCATCTTTTTTCCTATTGTTGTTCGTAAAGCATATTTTTTGTTAGGCATTAGAAAGCGTTTCTTATTTTAGAATATTACGCCGTGTGCGTCTATACTTATCTCGGGGTCAATGGAAACAGGAAAAAAAATCTGCATATTTCTTTTTTTAGCAGGATTTCGGATTGAAACCAAACCGGGTGGAGGCATTCAGAGATTCCACACAAGGCAGACAAAGCATACTTGAATGATTTATTGTGTGCTGACAATGCTATTGCCAGGTGCGTCTCCCTTGACAGCGTTTCAGGACCAGAGCCAGCAACAACAAAAAAATATTTTCCTCCCCCCCGCCCCCTTTGCATGCGCCTCCAAAAACAGATCCCCCGTATAGTTTTAACAGACTATTGAGGCATATAACGAGCACCTATGAAGGGCAGCATGGCACACGAGGGGGCGGGTGGCCAGCATCACGCCCTGACTGACTGCCTTTGTCTCCCTAATGGCGATGTTTACACACCGCACTAGGTACTCATTTGAGGCAGAGTTGATCTAGGGGTGGCCCAGGACCGGTTCAGATAATCGTCACTGGCATTGGCCATGAGCGGGAATCAAACTCCGGTCGCCGGGTTCGTAGCGCAGCGCGCTAACTGCTGCACCACCGCTCCCGCCACACACGCACACACACGCTTCACCGTAACAAAACAAAGTTCGCAGCTGTAGTTTTCATTCAGAGGGCTTAATTTAGTGATGCTAATGCAATTCTCCTTCGAGGCTTTCAATTACAAGTTCAACCGGGTTCAGGGCTGGCTGCGGTTCAGACGCTTAATTATACGTTTTGATTGATTAGTGCGATTGCAATTATGCTAGGGCACTGTAGATCTCTTCTCCAGTTTTGCTGTAGCTCAATGTCACGTTCTTTATTCAGTTCAGCTTCAACACACGCTATTGGTTGAATGGCTTATAAAAGGTCTGCTGGCAACAGAGCCTTGTCTCTGTGATCCTTCATCTGGTTAAATAATGGAAACTACTACTACTGTTACTGCTGAAGGTGGGCCATTTTTGTAGCACATTTTTTTTACTTTGTATGCCAGCCATGGCATGGAAAAGGACGTGGGTTAGAATTACATTGTGGTTGGTGCACCTGGATTTAATCTCAAAAGGGTATTATGCAGATGTACGGGGACTGGAATTGTTTTGCTTTCTAATTTATATTGTTGCCAAAAATGCATTATTTGTTCAATAACAAATTAACCTTATGGCGGGACACTGGGTTCCCATAAGCCCCCCGGCTCTCGCATAAACTGCATTGCGACAACATTTCATGTCTGTTGAACGCCAACGATATGGCAATCTATTCCTCTCGACGAGTTCTACACAATGCGCTAATGAAAGTTTCAAAGTTTTGTTTCTTCTGCGCATTTGTCCTCGCTACTTCGCTTGGACGACATGACCACAGAATGATCCGCGCCAGGAGGGTCGCGGCGTTTATGCGCGCGGTGGGACGGAGTCGCCAATAATAAATGACTTAATTACCATTTTGAGTTCCGTTTATTCGGGACCCCGGGATCCCTGCCATAAGGTTCAAATGGCAATACAATTTTTTTATACTTTCATTTGAAGTGCTGAAGTTATGATATTTTGTCCATTGGAGCCAAAAGATATGAATACCCAACCGAACAAACGTTGTAATACGATTTACTAAATTGGGTGAATTTGTTATGTATCTGTAATTGTCATGATTGATAAGCAATGAAAACAGATCGTTTTGTCAAATTAGTACATTCGTCAAATCGTGCATTGGAGCAAATGGGCGGAAAATATTCCATTGTTGCGCTAAACTTCTGTGCTCTGTCACTCTGTTCCCTGCCTTTACGAACATACACTAACAATCAGGGCTGTACAAAGGGCTATCATGCAATTAGACAAGTTTCATCTTACTTTCCTGGAGAAATCTGGTTAGTCATCCCATTGGCAGAAACATATCCCATGTTACATATCTGGATATCAGTTGTGCTATGGCTGCCGATGGACCAGTTAGAGATTCCCTATTGTCATTTGAGGAACCTCAGCGGTGTATGGTATAAAAGCAAACCTGCCGGAGTGTGTAGGGTGACTGGTGAACTGTTGAGGCTTTGTTCTGTGTACTCGGAAGTCCCAGTGGAGGCTGCTTGCAGCCAAAATGTTGATCTTATATTTTATTGACTCAAATATTTGACCTAGTTTTAATCCCTTGCCAAAATGGAACGTCTCGGTTGGAAAGGGTGCCTAGGGTAGCTGAAGACGGTGTT